TTTTTATAAACGCATAAACTTTTCTGATTATGTTATCAAGGACAGCTGTTTTAATTTTAGCAACCCGATCGATAGATAAATCAATGGCTTATCAGCTGGAAACTCTGGAGAAATCCACCACCTGTCTTCACATTTTTAAACATTAAAAATTTATTTCTTGAAAGATTTTTTAAAACTTTACATCAAAAGAAAGCATAATAAATTCTCTTTAAAATCATGTAAAAATTGTAAAACTTGTAATTTAAGAAAACATCTTTACACTTTTATGAATAAGTCCAGATATTAATTATGTGGTTCCAACAAAACAAACCAAAATTTTAATAAATTGAAAAGTGGGCCGAGTTGACCCGTGCCGAGTTGGAATAGGGCTGAGCTGACTGGGATGCCGAGAATGTTTTATGGCCGAGTTGACCCTGATTCCCAGAATGGAATAGATTACCAGATACTGTGGTATGTTCACCAATGCTGAATACGTTAAAAATCAGACTTGATAAAGTTATGAGAAACAAGTTATATATTGTCGTACCGGAAAATAATTATTGGGTGTCACCGTGTCAGACCTTGAGGGGCTTACAAGAGATTTCTGATCTCATGACCCTACACTGGATAAAGTAAAGTAAAAGTAAAGTATGTGGGAGATTAGTATTATACTGTGCTCCTCTTAGTTCACGGTACTTAACGCTTTGAAACAAGAAAGAAAACAACAAATGAAACTTATGGTACAAAAATTGTCATAAGCTATAACATATAGGTATTTTCTGCGGTATTGCACAAGGAAACAACAATATATTCAGTCAAAGTCAATGGTAATGGACCAAACGTAGACCATATGTCGGACATTTTGAAAACAGTATATCATCATTTAAATCACGGTAATGGTGTTACATTTCAGTTTTTTTCATGTTTCGGTTAAATTTTCTACATGTTATTTTGCGTGATTTTAAATATCAAAATTATCCTTACTTTTTAACTCGAAATTTATTTTTTCAACAACCAAGAACATTCAGAAAAATGATGATTGTTTCTGACATATGCACAAATTTAATGGAATATTGTTGCCTTTTGCAGAAAATTGTAAAATGTTGTTCTGTTTTACGTAAAAATCTAGAGATTTAAAATATTTTCCACCAAACTTTTGTTGTATAGATTAGGTGTATGAATAAAATATGTCAATTCTGACTAATTTTAACACTGGTCACATGAAAATATGCCAATACCGTGAAATAACTGATAACACGGAATTAGTGATGTTAAGTATACATCACTATAAACACTTCCTCACACTCACTATCCTTACTGGAGGATTTTAATATTAAAGATGCTAATCTGGAAAAGGGAATGGGATATGGAATTCAACCCCTCATAATGCAAAGGCTTACACATCACTAAAAACAAAAAAGTCATCAACAACAAGTACTGCCTCCATGGCCAAGCTTTAACGGCAGTTCCAAACTCAAAATATCTTGGCCTTGACCTGTTTGCAGACTTAAACTATTATACTTACATCTCGAGGATAACTGGGTTTTCCCAACAGAAGAAATATGTTGCTGTAATCAGGGTCCTAATTACTGGGTACTTAGGCAGTGCTAGGGCCTAGAAACTCTCAGTTAAGGAATCTTAAAAGTTGTTTTAAATAAAAAAGAGAATTTTGTCTGTGGACAACAATATTCATATCACATGTATGAGAATAAATTTTATTCTGAAAAAAAAAAATTTTTAATGACATAATGCAGGGTTTTCATTTTTATCTGAGGCAACAGATGTGCCAACTAAAACAACCGATTTGGCTAAGGGTCAAGGGGGTGGGGGGTTGTAATTTAATCTACAGGCTGAAATACAGGTGATTTCAACAGCATTTCAACCGATGATGTGAATTGCCAATCTGTTATTAAGGAAAACCCTGATATTTTACTTGTATAAGGTTACATGCTGTATCGAAGACAAATTTTTGCCGTTATAAGTGGATGTTTTTTGTGTCGCCTCTACGGAGTAGTGGCGACATATAGGGATCACTTCTCCGTCGTCTGTCTGTCCGTCTGTCCGTCTGTCTGTCTGTCCGTCTGTCCGTCCGTCCGTCACAAAACTTGTCCGGACTACCCCTCATAAACTACTGGTGCAATTTCATCCAAACTTTACAGGAATGATCAGTATCAAGTCTAGTTGTGCATATTGTCAGCATTTTCCGGTTCAATGATTTTTGTCAGAGTTATGGCCCTTTAGAAATTTTTTATTTTAAAGTTTGTCCGGACTACTTCTCTTATACCACTGAAGCAATTTCAATGAAACTTCACAGGATTGATCTGTAGCTCAAGTCCTTGCGCATATTGCAAGGGTTTTCCGGTTGAATGATTTTTGGCCGAGTTATGGCCCTTTGATAAAAAGGTGTTTTTTTCTGTGTGTTGCCAGATACACAATAGCTTGTCCGGACTACTCCTCATAAACTACTGGTGCAATTTCATCCAAACTTTACAGGAATGATCAGTACCAAGTCTAGTTGTGCATATTGTCAGCATTTTCCGGTTCAATGATTTTTGTCAGAGTTATGGCCCTTTAATAGTTTTTTATTTTTAAAGTTTGTCCGGACTAGTTCTCTTATACCACTTATGCAATTTCAATGAAACTTTACAGGATTGATCTGTAGCTCAAGTCCTTGCGCATATTGCACGGGTTTTCCGGTTGAATGATTTTTGGCTGAGTTATGGCTCTTTGATAAAAAGGTGTTTTTTTCTGTGTGTTGCCAGATACACAATAGCTTGTCCGGACTACTCCTCATAAGCTACTGGTGCAATTTTATCCAAACTTTACATGATTGATCAGTACCAAGTCTAGTTGTGCACTGTCCGTCTGTCTGTCCGTCTGTTACAAAATTTGTCCTAACATGAAATTGGCCATGTATCGAAGACAAATCTTTGCTGTTATATTTATAAGTGGATGTTTTTTTTCTTTTAAATATAAACAGTGGTGAGTGAACTAAAGCTAAACTTATTGTGAATGTATTATTCTAATTCTTTCTCTAGGAGGAGGGTTTTTGATGGAAGCTGTCCATTGTGGAGGTTGGTTTATATTCTAGAAGAACTGCCTATAGGTTACTTGGAAAAAGTTTTAACAATATAGAATGAATGTTGGATAAAGTTCAAGACGAGGAGACAAATGGTGAAGGGGAGTTAACTGAATGTATAGCACAACAGAACACCTGTAACTTAATGTTCCGAGAGATAACTTCAATCATTCAGTCATTTAGAGGTAAATATAACAGATCCTTTTCTATGATTAGGAATTTAAAAAAAAAAAGTCGAGCACAGCCTGGCGTGCTAGGTGGTGACTCATGTTGTTATTAAAATTGTATGGGCCTGTGCTATACTGTACATGCTAAGGGTATTAAGTTTCTGAGGAATCTATCCAGGTACATTATAGAAGGTTAATTGTGATACTAAGGTGCTTGCTTATCTGAAAAAAATCCTTGTTGTCTGCTCTAATGTTTGTCTGAATACAGAAATGCATCTTTAGTCTAACTTCAACAGTATCAATAAAAAGTCACTGAAAAATAGATATACATTTGTACTACATATTTGGGTAACCTACATGTACTTTAATTGCAGAAATTATTAAAATTTGCAAATTATAAATGAAAATATAATATTTTAATAAGAGAAAATGTAAACTATGTACCTGTCAAGTTAATTTGGTCCTTTCTCTCCCCCCCCCCCCCCCAAAAAAAAACGAAAGACAAAACATTATTTTAATGACCCTATGTATTCTTAGTAGAGTTTAAAACATAACATATCTTCTCTGTTTATTCTCAAAAGATGTTTAAAAGAGACTGTAGAATATTCAGTTGTTTCAATTATCAAATTAAGGCATAGTAATTATATCTTTCAAAACTCTAGGAAATTGAAAAAATGTTGTTTTGTTTTATTTTTAAAGGAAAACCATTGAGGGAGCAAATGAAGACAAAGAACTTTTATGCAGTGATTTTATTCCTGCTGGCTGCTGTGACCACACTATGGATTTTAGTCGACCCTTCCCCTAGCCTGCACACGATCGTCTCGGAAACACACAAACAGATCTCAAATATCAAAAATATTCCATCAAATATTCGACATACCAAGAAAAAATTACTAGAAGTTGATCATAAATACTTAGACTTACTAGGATTTCCAACATCTACAGTTAAACCTGTAGTGAATAAATCAAAATCAGCTGTATTGAAAACAGATCCTGTTGTCGTGGTTCCCGTGTTTTCTTCAGCATTTGAAGCAGCTAGAAGATTTCTAGCGTCAGTCAGAAGACACTTGCCAGAGAAGTTTGTTGTGTTCTACGATCTTGGATTAGGTCTAAAAGATAGTCTTATGGTACGGTGTGTTTTATTTACTTACAGTCTGTTAACGTAATTTAGAATTATACAGTGTAACAAATCAGGGCCGGCAAAATCAAGTGTCCGTATTGCCCAGGTTGTCCCACAGCCTGTAGGACAAGTGAAAAATTTCAAGAATTAACTATGTAAATAGAATTGGACAAGTTAAAAAATGCTTCACATAAAAACGGACAAGTAAGTCAAAATCAGATTTTGCCTGCCCCTGGTGTTGTTTCATTAGCTCTTGCCATGCTAAATTTCAATAATGGAACATCTTTAGTAAAGGTTAGGATCAAAATGCTAAAAAAAACCCAAAAAACTGGGGACTTTCAGGGTTTTCATTATTAACAGATTTTGTGATCCATATCATTGATGGAAATGTTGTAAAACAGGTTATGTTTTCAGCTTGTAGACTAAAATATCCCCCTTGACCCTTGGTCAAACTTGTTGTATTCATTGGCACATCTTTTGCCTCAGATAAAAATGAAAACCCTGGGTTTTGGTCTTTGATTATTTTTTATAAGGGTGACATAGTGCTTTAGCAATTGTTTAACTTCACAAAATATAACACTTTAACTGTTTGAAAATTAGTTGATACAGATGTTACTCATTTAATGATAATGGTAACTGTTATATCTACATTTATTTGATTCAACAGATGTTGATAAAATGGAAATATTTTCTTTATTAGATTCATTGTAACAATATTTATGTTTAGTTTGAAGAAGTTTTATGATTATACATGTGTATATGTTATAACATTTCTTGTCTGAAAACATGCTCAGTCTGTCATGCTCTTGTTGTAGTTTAAGTAATAGACTAACTCCAGAATTAAGAATATTTGGGTTTTTCCCAGCTAATCTGTATGTACAAACAATCAGTTACAGCTTCATAAATAAGCGCAACTGGTTAACTTGTCTATTGTGACAGGTACTGGACCATGAAGCTTTAACAGTAAAAGTTTGTTTGTACCTACGGATCAGCTGGGAAAAACCCATATTTGCCAGGTTCCAGATAACACTGTCATATTGTACTATATTTATGTGACCCAGTTGCATTTTCCCTATGGTTTAATTCAAAACAAAACTCGAGGTTTGCTGGTTCGTGTTTAATTTGTAGTAGACACTAATAACAAACATGTATATCATACTCAGTCCATCAAATCAACATTTCAACACATACATTATAGCACACATATATCATAATACAGTTTTACTAGCATAGCAACAAGCCCTGAAAATATACATATTAAGCATTCCATAACATCATAAAATATATGATAAATACATATAATTTCTTTAAATATAGCAAATCCATTATATCAACAGATTAGTCCAGAATTGTACCTTTTCTAAATATATATAATTTATACACAAAATACATATCTAAATACATTAACATTCTATGAACTTGCATCTAGTGACCACTTAACCAGTTGTTTATAATACAATATGAAATGTATCATTACCTTAAAAATATACATGTAGTTCTAAAATATATAATCAATTACATATAAACATAACATACAAATTGTGGATCAAACTCCTGCTACATCACACCTATCTGTCTCACTCTACTGTTTATTATGCTGTATATCTTTAATATACAAACATCAGTGCAATACTAATAGAAACAGTGATTTCTGTGAATTTCTGTTAGACAAGAAAGTATGCTGCCATCTTGAATTCTAACACAATATTACTAGTTTATCAAAATAACTTTTAACAAAACCACATCTGTATTAATAAAAATAAGTCTTCCTTTAGTTGACATAAGAACTTTTAAGAACAAATGAATAAAACATACCAATACCAAATTCCTAAATTAATATTTAAATAATAATTTCAATGTAAGAAAAACACATATACATGTCACAATGACCAACAACTTCTGATTACACAAAGTATGACCTCAGGTAATCCTAACTTTAGGGGATTTGGTAAAAGGGACATAATGGCAAAAAGTTAATACTAAAATCAAACAAGGTTGACAGAGTTGTCTTTCTTGGAAAATAACAATTAACCTTAAAATAGCACTTGGTTACATTTACAGCATTGTATTATATTTACTGCATTATATTATATTTACAGCATTACCGGTATATTATATTTACAGCATTGTATTGTATTTACAGCATTGTATTATATTTACAGCATTATATTATATTTACAGCATTGTATTATATTTACAGCATTGTATTATATTTACAGCATTATATTATATTTACAACATTATATTGTATTTACAGCATTATATTATATTTACAGCATTTTATTATATTTACAGCTAAAGAAGACGTGTAACTCAACAAAGTACAATTGTGAAGTGAAATTATTTACATACAACAAGTATCCATCTCATGTTCATTCCCAAGCACTAGGTAGTTATGTGCCTATTTGTATACAAGTAAGTTGAAACTAGTATGTTATATATATTTATACAAAGCTTTAGAATGAGGGCCCTATATGGCCAGGCCCAGTAATCACTAACAAAAGATCAGGATCTGGATCAAATGATCCTTTCGTGAAAATTTGTCCAGCCAATTTAAACTTTTTATTGCTTTTTTGAACTCTAATATTAGAATGTTATACTTTTTGCCTGCAATTGTTTCTTGTTATGTGTATGTCTCCATCAGGGCAAGCCTATAAATTAACTTTGTTTCCTCTCCTGCAAGGAAGCTATCTTTTGGGTAGTTTTGAACATCCTAGCTGTCTCATATTCAGTTATATTTACAGGCCTATGTTTATATTAGATTGAGAATCTAACAACAATAAATACATTGTATTAAAACTTTTAAGTAATTCATATGTTTTGCAACATTTTATGTTGTCAAAGCTGTTGTCTAAACTAGAAGTTGGTCACTTGTTGAGAAATTGTTAACAATTAATTTTTTATCCATTTATAAAGCAGCACGCCTCCAGATTCTTGCTAATGTTCTTGAAAATTTAAAAAATGTATTAAAAGTTAACAAAGAAAATAATATACATGTTGAAAACGACACTTAACAACCCATGTAAATTACCAAAAAAATGTCAAAATATGCAAAAATAGCCCTTTAGTTTGTAACGAACTGGAAATACAGTGAAAAGTACTGTAAAATCAGCTGTTTATCTCAAATTACATGGAAATTGTCTTAAATCTTTTTTAGCTCATCTGTCACAAAGTGACAGGGTGAGCTTTTGTTATCGCTTTTTGTCCGTCGTCCGTCCGTCGTCCGTCCGTAAACTTTTACTTTAAATGACATCTCCTCATAAACCACTAAGCCAATTTCATCCAAACTTCACAGGAATGTTCCTTTGGTGGTCACCTTTAAAAATTGTTCAAAGAATTTAATTCCATGCAGATCTCTGGTTGCCATGGCAACCGAAAGAAAAAACTTTTAATATCTTCTTTTAAAAAACCATAAGAGCTAGAGCTTAGATATTTGGCATGAAACATCTTCTAGTGAGTGTCTACCAAGTTTGTTCAAATAAAAGCCCTGGGGTCAAAATTGGCCCCGCCCCGGGGGGTCATTGATTTTCCCTATATGCATATAGTAAAAACTTAAAAATCTTCTTTTAAAGAACCCAAAGAGCTAGAACTAAGATATTTAGCATGAAACATGTTCTAATGGGTGTCTACCAAGTTTGTTCAAATAAAAGCCCTGGGGTCAAAATTGGCCCTGCCCCGGGGGGTCATTGATTTTCCCTATATGCATATAGTAAAAACTTAAAATATCTTCTTTTAAAGAACCCAAAGAGCTAGAGCTAAGATATTTAGCATGAAACATGTTCTAATGGGTGTCTACCAAGTTTGTTCAAATAAAAGCCCTGGGGTCAAAATTGGCCCCGCCCCGGGAGTCATTGATTTTCCCTATATGCATAATTATAGTAAAAACTTAAAAAATCTTCTTTTAAAGAACTCAAAGAGCTATGGCTAAGATATTGAGCATCAAACATGTTCTAATAGGTGTCTACCAAGTTTGTTCAAATAAAAGCCCTGAATAAAAAAAAAAAAAATTGGCCCCGACCCAGGGGTCATTGATTTTCCTTATATATGTGTATAGCAAAAACTTAAAAATCTTCTTTGAAAAAACCCAAATAGCTAGAGTTAAGATATTAAGCATGAAACATCTTTTAGTGAGTGTCTACAAAGTTTGTTCAAATAAAAGACCTGGGGTCAAAATTGGCCCCGCCCCGGGGGTCATTGATTTTTTTTATATGTGTATAGCAAAAACTTAAAATCTTCTTTGAAAAAATCCAAATAGCTAGAGTTTAGATATTAAGCATGAAACATCTTCTAGTAAGTGTCTACAAAGTTTGTTCAAATAGAAGCCCTGGCCCGGCCCCAGGGGTGTCATTGTTTTTAACTATATGTGTATAGTAAAAACTTTAAAAAAATCTTCTTTTAAAAAGCCCAATGAGCTAGAGCTTAGATGTTTAGCATGAAACATCTTCTTATGGGTGTCTACCAAGTTTGTGCAAATAAAAGCCCTTGGGTTAAATTGGCCGTGCAACGTTGGGGGGGGGGGGGCCTATATACAGGTGAGCGACCTCAGGACCATCATGGCCCTCTTGTTTACTTTTCTTAAAATTCCCAGTACATTTTTCTCAAGTTTGATTTTCTTGAAATATTTTGGCTCATCTGGAGGTATGCAGCTTTAAAGCAGGTATAGTGGATCCACTGCCAAGATATGACCAAAATGTGTTAAAATACGTGTTTAAAAAAACAACAACCAGAAAAACAAATTTAACAGATATATATACATTGTAACATGTTCTTGTGAGCAGAAAAAAAGTTATATATTTTCTCTTGTCTATTCCAGGAAAGTTTAAAGGAATATGGAGCTGTCATATGGTCTATTCCACAAGAATATTTCCTCACTAAAGAAATATCATCAGTTGTGTCGGTAGCGAAGGAGGCTGGTATAGCAGCATGGACAATCAAAGATACCACCTCGAGTAACACGTATCCAAAAATGTTCACATATTTTGATGAAAATCCAGAAAACTACTATTTTCACAGGGCGATAAAGACATCACATTTAATTGTGTATAATACAGATTTTGTTCAATCTAATATAATGTTGCCATGGATCAAATGTGCGTTGGTCGAAGAATGTATCAGTCCAACCGGCTCACAGAATTCTGGCTACTGTTACCAGCCAAAACCAAGATATCTATACACCGGTTGCCACCACTATGAACAGTCCGCGTTGAATGTGATTCTTGGAAAAGCATTTTCTTATGATAACACTGAATATTCAACAACTGAAAAAATATTTGGCGTAGAACATTTTAATAAAACAGACGTTGATGATATGAAATATACAGATTCATGGCTGGATGGAAAAAGTTGAACAATAATTTAATTAATTTATTTCTTAAAATAAGTAGAAGATTATGATTGAAATGTTAGAATTCAGAATTGAAATAACGAAGGATGAGGAGGAATAAAAAGCACCTTATAAAATATGTCATGTAAAAGAGTACACGCCATATTGCCCATGAACAAATATTTAAACTGATCCAAAGCTTTAAATATAGGACTTATTCAAACAGAAAACCTGTGATCTGATGATTGCTTCAAAATAAAATACAACAGCGACTGAATGTTTAGAATTTGATATTGTGGTTACGTTTGCTGAAGAAATTATGTCATAACTTAATACTGCAGCTGCCAATGGGGCTCTGTTTTCTATGAATACTAGTAGTATATTTGCATACATTTGTTAGTGTATTCAAGAAAAGTTCATGTAAAGCGACCCAATTACAGTCATGGATTACACCACAGTACCTAATGATGTATCCAAATACAGTTTACTCTCAATAAGTCAAAATCGCTTAACTCAAAATTCCGCGTAAGTCGAAGAATTCCTAAAGTCCCGTCAAATTTCCTTCTTTATCTTTGTATTTTAACTCCGCTTAGGTCAAATTTTGACTTAGCGAGACTCCTGTTTAGTCAAAAAAAAATTTGGTCCGGTCAATTAAAGTCCAACATGTTTTCATCTTAATTAGTCGAAGTTTGAAGACAGCCATCGGATCAAAGGTCGGCGACATCAAGGCGAGACGTTGTCACTCATGATTCACACGTGTCATAGTAATTTTAATTGCCGGTCATTATGTATTATTAACACGTCGTAAAAGTGGATTTAATCGGTTTCAGGGCTTAATTGGTTTTAACAGTTAGATAACTTATTTAAGATTTGATTTATTTAATTGTAATTACGTTTACCAGCAGACTAGTCCATATTTCTTTAAGAAAGTTGACTCGTGCCAGTCTGACAGGTGTTAGTCAAATAACAGCCTAGATATCAAGGTAAATGAAATTTGTATAATCAATGTTCTGTCATACTGCATACATTAATATGTACTTCCGGTTTACGATAGTTGCTACTTTCGTTTTCGTCTGATGATCAATTCACTTCAAATATTAGATAAATTGTTGTTAAAGTAAATGTGTTATTGTGCTTTTATTGTAATGAATTGTCGTGAGTGCTTATTAAAGACGCGTGCATTGCCGCTGTCAACAATAACAAACCTACTTCTTTGCACATTCAGTCAGGCACATGCATTTATATGTACGAATGTCAACGTAATGGCGGCAGATTCACGTTACTCGAATTCCGTTTCTCTCGAAGTAGAATGCCCAGTCCCTTGGATTTCGAGTTACCGAGAGTCAACTGTAGTTGGAAATACATGATTTGGCTTTGCTAACTTTAACTTCTTAAGACATAGCTTTACAAACTTGTAAGCTCTCTGCTTTTCTGGTAAATGTGTTCTTGCCAATTTTATGCAATGTTTTTTTATCAATCTTTAATTAAAATCTAAATTAAACCAAGTATCTAATTAAATCAGATCATCAATTTCACTTTTATACAATGTCTTACCTGAAATAAAACAGTTGAGCACCAGTGAGGATAATCTGATATGAGATAGTCATACTGGTTTAACACAAAAAAAGAAAAAATGAAATCACAATAGTTTATTTTTGGAATATGAAAACTGTTCAATTAACTGAATATTTAATTAAACAATTTGTGTTCTAAACTTTCCCTGCCTTGGATTTGGAACAGTGCAATGTTTGTTTGTTGTTTTTATTGGATAAGGAATTTGAACCCAGTGCAAGTTGCATGGAATTGCAGCTTTGACTAGTTTTATATTGCCACATTATTGATGCAAGTGTTAAAATAGTTAGTATGAAGAAGATTTGGTTTCTTTTATCCCCTAAACTTTCTAAGGGAACCAGCTGTTCTGTAACCTAGTCACATCTCGTGTTTGTTTTATAAATTTTTACGTGTTGATGGTCACATGGGTATACAAATGTAAATGTGTATGTTCCTGATAATAAGAGTGCTGTTGATGAATATATTGACCATATGTTGTCTTTCTTATATTAAATTCTTTTTTAACACGTTCATTGATTGGATATTTAATTTTGTTTTGTACCATATGTATTAGTTTTAATGTTACTGGAAATTAAATTATGCTTAAAATGATACTGTATTACTGTGTTGGAAATTTTATAAATTTGAAAATTATTCACAAACATGAGTGAAATATATAGATCAACCAGGCTGAGTAATGCATGGAACACAGCCCTGACAACAGAAAGCAACTTGTAGAAACCATACAATGTATGGTATATAACATTGTAAGAAATTATTTTTGCCACCAGATTGTATTTTCTTTACAAATTTAGCAGTAGTTGAAAATGAATATTTATTGAAATTAAAGATCCTGTAACTCAAAGTTTGTAAGGTTAAATATCATAAATCTGATGCTCAAATGAAGATTTGTCAATATTGTAAGTTCAAAAAAGCATTATTTGTAAATTTTATTAACAAATTTACATTATATGTATATAAAGGGAGGTAATAAGAGGTCTATTTTCGTCTAAGCCAAAATCTTTCAATAAGAAATGAAGGAGTAGATTTTAATGATTACTTATAATGTGAATATACATTTGCAGTACGTATTTAACATATTCTTTGAGGTTTGGAAAATGTTTTAGAAGAATGATTATATACATATTAAGTGTTTTTACATCCTTGAGTACAATATACAGGATCTTTAAATGGATCAAAGATGGCTAATGTGTAATGAAACATAGCAAAGGTGGTCAAAGAAAGCAAATAATATAAAAAAATAGCAAAAGGGTCTTAAATAACAAAAGGTGTGAAAGAAAGCAAAGGGGGTCAAGATCAACAAAGGGAGTCAACAACAAAGAAATGAAATCAAAGATAGCAAAAGGGGTCTTAAAGGGGTTCAGAATTAACATATGGGGTCAAAGTTAGCAAAGGGGTTCAACAACAAGAAAATGAATTCAAAGATAGCAAAAGGGGTCTTAAAGGGGTTCAGAATTAACAAATGAGGTCAAAGTTAACACAACGGGGTCAGCAACAAAGAAAGGAAATCAAAAAGTCGGTTCATGAAGGGGATAAAAAAGCTACAAAAATAAGATAAAAGGGAGTTAAAGCTGGCACATCAAAAGATCAATGAAAGTAAAATGGAAGTGGGGATTCTAGGATAACAAAGGGTGTCATTTTTTGCCAAGGATGACTAAGATAGAAATGAGGGTAAAATATAGAAGATATGGTCAAAGATAATTTAGGTGATAAGTTTTTGTCTTTTTTATGTTGTCAAAATATTTGCAAGTTGCAAATGCAGGTAATCCTAAGGTTGTATGTCACTTATAATGTAAATTTTAGAAACAATTTGCTTTCTTATCTGCCCCCTGAAAAGTGTCCGGGAAATAATAAATTATGGCATGCATGCTGATTAAAGAAAGCAAAGGTTGTCATTGACATGCAATAATTCAATGACAGCCAATGGGTTTCAAAGCACATAAAAGACAGACAAAAAGCGCATCTTGGATTTTGACACAATGCTTTAAACTGCTAAGAAAAGAAAGCATGTGTTACTAGACTGTTAGATATATACTTTAATGTGTAATGTGTATCTAAATGACTGCAATATTTTAATGCAACATTATAATTCAGCGTTTTAAATGAGACAATATTCATCTGTTGTAACTACTGATTCTTTACCTGTAACAATAGACAACATCCCTTTTAAAGCAGCATTCCTCCAGTTTCATGCTAATTTTCCTAAAAAAAAATTAAATGTATTAAAAAATAAAATATTGTCAAGTGAACAAAGAAAGTAATGTAAACATTGTAAACAGCACTTAAAATCTACAAAACAATACAAAAATATGACTGAATATGCAATAATTTGAGCTCTTACTTCATTAGTCACACTGTAGAAATACATGTACGGTGATGAATGCTGTAAAATCTGTGATTCCGCACAAAGAATAATGAAAAATATCAATTACTAATCCAAAGTTTTTAATGATCATACCCTTTGAAGAAATGCTTGATATCAACATTAAAAAAATCTCCAGATCATTCTTCAATGAATGATACACAACAAAGTGACAGGGTGAGCTTTTGTGATCGCTTTTCCTCCGGCGTCCGTCCGTCCGTCGTCCGTTGTCCGTAAACTTTTACTTTAAATGACATCTCCTCATAAACCACTAGGCCAATTTCATCCAAACTTCACAGGAATGTTCCTTTGGTGGTCACCTTTAAAAATTGTTCAAAGAATTTAATTCCATGCAGAACTCTGGTTGCCATGGCAACCGAAAGAAAAAAACTTTTAAAATCTTCTTTTAAAAAACCCAAGAGCTAGAGCTTAGATATTTTAATCATGAAGCATTTACTAGTGAGTGTCTACCAAGTTTGTTCAAATAAAAGCCCTGGGGTCAAAATTGGCCCCGCCCCGGGAGGGTCATTGATTTTCCCTATATGCATATAGTAAAAACTTAAAAAATCTTCTTTAAAAGAACTCAAAGAGCTAGAGCTAAGATATTTAGCATCAAACATGTTCTAATAGGTGTCTACCAAGTTTGTTCAAATAAAAGCCCTGGGGTCAAAACTGGCCCCGCCCCAGGGGTGTCATTGTTTTTAACTATATGTGTATAGTAAAAACTTAAAAAAATCTTCTTTTAAAAAGCCCAATGAGCTAGAGCTTAGATGTTTAGCATGAAACATGTTTTTATGGGTGTCTACCAAGTTTGTTCAAATAAAAGCCTTGGGGTCAAAATTGGCTCTGCCCCAGGGGGTCATTGATTTTCCCTATATGCATATTGTAAAAACTTAAAAAAACTTCTTTTAAAGAACTCAAAGAGCTAGAGCTAAGATATTTAGCATCAAACATGTTCTAATAGGTGTCTACCAAGTTTGTTCAAATAAAAGCCCTGGGGTCAAAATTGGCCCCGCCCCTGGGGTCATTGATTTTCCTTATATGTGTATAGCAAAAACTTAAAAAATCTTCTTTGAAAAAACCCAAATAGCTAGAGTTTAGGTATGAAGCATGAAACATCTTCTAGTGAGTGTCTACAAAGTTTGTTGAAATAAAAGCCCTGGGGTCAAAATTGGCCCGCCCCGGGGGTCATTGATTTTCCTTATATGTGTATAGCAAAAACTTAAAATCTTCTTTGAAAAAACCCAATTAGCTAGAGTTTAGATCTTAAGCATGAAACATCTTCTAGTAAGTGTCTACAAAGTTTGTTCAAATAAAAGCCCTGGGGTCAAAACTGGCCCCGCCCCAGGGGTGTCATTGTTTTTAACTATATGTGTATAGTAAAAACTTAAAAAAATCTTCTTTTAAAAAGCCCAATGAGCTAGAGCTTAGATGTTTAGCATGACAACTTCTTCTTATGGGTGTGTGGTGTGGGGGGGGGGGGGGCTATATACAGGTGAGCGACCTCAGGGCCATCATGGCCCTCTTGTTTTTTTTTAGTATAATCTCAAATGTATATACAGAATGTTTTCATCTGTCTGCACCGGTATGGAGACTAACCCAATCCTAGACAAATGTCTGAATGACCGATGGTCAGTTATCACCATAACACCATTGAATATACATAAGTTTTATTCTAGCTACTAGAGCATATGTTTACATGTTATTTAAAGCTTTCTTAAGGCCTCAACAGACGGTAGGATTTTGAAGTACAACACCAATTAAAACTAAGATGTACAGACAAATCTTAATGTGTGAAGGCTACTATTTCTTGATTCCGGAAACCTTATGTCTAGATGTAAGGGATAGGACATGTTCTATTGTGAAAATCTTGTAGTACCGATTTTTTCAGACCTCCCACAATGACAAGTAACAGATAACCAAATTATCTCCTGATTATGGGTGTAATGAATGAAATTCCAGAACAATTAGGGCTAAAAGGTAAACATAGTAGTTAAAGATGGGATAAACATGATGTTGAAAAACTCTTCAAGAGACCCAAAGTTGTGTTATGTTCGAATCCCAAATTATTCCGAAAATGATTATGTCACGGTATTGAATTGTTCTCTAATTAGGGGAGGGGAGGTAGTTTGTAGGCAGCCAGATAGCTTAGTCAGAAGAGCTGCAGTACGGTATTCCGAGGGTCCCAGGTTTGAGTCTCGGTCAGGCTTTACATTAAAAAATATATATATATATTTTTTAAAATGGAGGGGTTTCAATCATTACTCATGGCGAAAAAGTATTTAGTGAGTAAAGGATCAATGTAAAGGGATCCTTTTTAGGGGAAACCTCAGATGATTCTTACAGTGTCGAATAACCGTCTGAATGCAAGTGTTGTATAGCTTTGAAAATTGTACATCTTATCTCTAATTAGTGCTGCACAACTAAATCCTACCGTCTGTTGAGGCCTTTAGTTTATCAAACTCCTATTACACTGAGTTAAACCCACATGACTAGAGAGCATATCATATTACACAGCACTTTCAGGAAATGTTTTAAAAGGTAAAACAAAGAAAGTAATCAACACATTGCAAATGACACTAAACATGTATTAAATTACCAAAAAATAGGTGAGAATATGCAACAATAGCCCTTAATTACTGGGTAAAACATGCAGTAGAAATAGTTTGATTAATCATTTATAGTCGATTACAATAAACATAATAACACTAGCTATGTAAGCTATTTTCCGACATAAAACATGCAAACAAACAACCTGTATAAAAGAATAAAAATATAAAATAGGATTAAGAAGATCATTGTTCATTTATGAGTGAGTCTGTAAAATAAATTAAGATTTATAAGCACATATCAATATACAATTGTATAAAACATGGAAATTATTTCTTGAATTGTGTAACTTTAATCCTTTAGTTAATTTTCTTGGAATAGTTTCCCCAGTATGCTGCTAATATGTAATATATCAATATAGAGTTATCTCCCGTTGTATATGCAAACGCCATTTGTACCAATGGAAACATTGTCAACCAATAGAAGAATCTACGTGCAATCATTTTGTTGCTGTCAGATATTTGTGTGCAAAATACTTTCTAAAATACTGGTAAGTTTGATATGTTTTGAAAAGAAATCACGGCCTCTTGAATGTTAAATAGAATGAAGCGCATAAGTGTACGTATACCTGGCTGGGACCCAAAACATTTTTGTTGGACTAGTGTACAATTAGAGTTGTTGGACCAATGCTCGGCGCATACCAATGCTCGGCGTAAAAAATATTTTTTTTAGAATATCTGAAAATGTCTCGAGTTATCTCCGATTTAGGTCACTGGTGCTTTTTACATCTTTCACCATTTTATCCTGGTGTGGTTCACTGCTGGTAAAGTCATGTGAATATTCTAATAGCAAACGAACAACCGTATGTAATCCCCAACATATAAACTATTAAAATCTTTTAACACTAGAGTTCTGGGGCTGTGAAATTTAAACTAAAAGTTGGGTACTTGTAAATGTATGAACCTAATTTGGTTGTTACAATTTATTCAATATGTTTTCATCATAAGATAAAAAGAGATTTTATTCGAAAAACAATCCTGCATTATGTAGTATTGTACGCCGAGCTATGGTACAATTTCACGCAAACCACTCTTGTTTATCAGGACTATCTATAGCTCCAGCCATGCACATCATTATGTGATTAGCGAATTTTACACAATGGCTATATAAAACAATATCATCGGTCTTGAAAATGGACATATAACATTGAGGTTTGTTGACGTTGATTTGAATTTGCTATATAAAATATAGTATGTTTACGCCGAGCGTTGGTCCACCCACTCTAGGGATGTGCAACAGACATCTACAGTAATGATGTTCTTTACAGTATTCAAGTTTTATTCAAAAAATAATTGTAGCTAAGGAATTTTATATATCGTTTTTCTCATCTCAAATTTTTGACATATTTGTGGAAGATATTTAGGTGACACTGTTCGAATGTTATATTTATTATGTTTGTGTCTTCACTAATATAATGTCATATCAGGAAACATAATTGCATACTTGAACCAATGATCTCCTTTAACAAGCTTGATCCATAGATTATAGACAGATCAAGGCATGCACTGTAAGCCACCTTTAATTCACCTGAACACAGTTCAGCCACCGCATTGTTCCTAGACAGGCTGTAAAACAGTTTGACAGTAATATGAAATTAGGCAAAGCCTATGAACGGGGAAGTCGTTAAAAAATCCTTCATTCTTCCGTTTAAAGGGGTTTATTCAATTTAACCGCTTTCCGTTTTACTCGGGAACACCGACTTATTACTAATGAAAATTTAATTTGTTCTTATCGGGAAAACCCCGTTTATCATTATTTACATTGTAAATGGGGGCCCCGACTAGAAAATGACATAAAAATTTTATTTATAGTTAGAAATTCTATTTTTTTAATTTTTTTTGTTTTTTTTTTTTTATTCATGTAGTTTGCCCGGGAAAACCAAAACCCGGACCCGCTTTCGGCCCGGTCTTTGACTCCCGTATTAAGCCATATTTCACAGGGAAGAATTTTTTTCATAGAATATGGGGTACAGTATAAAGGGCCCTTAGAAATTTTGATATTTTAAAACACGAAAATATTAACATACATATAATTTGCTTTTTGCATTTCTTTTCCCGTCAAAAATTATTGGAAAATTCTAAACCACAAAGTCATCTTTGCTCCTTATCAAATGTCGGCCATGGATGCCTGCTTTTTTTTGGAAAGCATGCCAAAAATATGTACTTGTAATATTCTTTAGCAACTGCTTTATACAATTATTACTATGTAATTAGTCCCCTACCGGTTTACCGGAGGGGACTTTAGGTTACCCTCCGTCCGTCCGTCTGTCCGTCCGTCAGTCCGTCCGTCCACAAAACTGGATCCCGCGATAACGCAAAAAGTACTGAAAATATTTTTATGAAACTTGATATATGGATAGATGGCAGTATGGAGATTATGCACGTCTTTTTCTTTTCTTCCTATGTTGAAAATTCTGGTTGCTATGGCAACAAATAGACTGAAAATATGGCAAATTTTACACATAACGTGGATCCCGCGATAACTCAAAAAGTACAGAAAATATTTTTATGAAACTTGATATATGGATAGATGGCAGTCTGGAGATTATGCACGTCTTTTTCTTTTTTTTCCTATGCTGAAAATTCTGGTTGCTATGGCAACAAATAGACTGAAAATATGGCAAATTTTATACATAACCTTGATCCAGTGATAACGCAAAAAGTACTGAAAATACTTTTATGAAACTTGACATATGGGTAGATGGCAGTCTGGAAATTATGCACATCCTTTTCTTATCTTCCTTTGTTGAAAATTCTGGTTGCTATGGCAACAAATAGACTGAATTTCAAGATTTCTGATTATAGTTATTAAGTTTATCCAATATAAGTTCTTTATTTCTTAAGGTATCTTTTTCAAACTTTAAATATAAGTTGCTAGTCATCAACCACATCATATGTGACAAGGTTTACAACTCTAGCACAAAATTTATCAGAATTGCCTCCCTTGAACTTAAAATTTTCATGAAAAAAATATTGTCTTTTTTAATAACTTCTTTTTTTCTGAATGTATCTACTTCAAACTTCATATATATGTTTCTTATTATCACTCAACATTTGTGAGAAAGGTCAATACTCTAGCAAGACTTTTTACGTAATTATGCCCCTTTTGAACTTTTTTTCGAGAAATTGGTAATTTTTACTCCAAATTCTTCAATCATTATAGGATTTTTTCTTCAAACTCCTTCAGTGTCCTTCAGTCCGTCTGTCTGTCTGTACATAAAAACTGTTTCCTGTGATCACTTTTAAAGAACTTTTTCAACAAATTTACTTAAAATAGAAACATAAGTGAATGGCCAATGGCCCTTTAGAATGTTGCTGGGGTTCTAACCGGTAGGGGACTTATGGATTGCTTGCAATACTATGATAATTGCTTGTTACTATAGTAATTATTACAATGTAAATATATGTTAAGCATTTTCTATAGAGACACTTTAAATGAATTGATGGACTGACTAAAGTGGATCAGATCTGGTGATGTATTGTTGAAACATGAAACATGGATGGTGACATAGAACCTTTGGTAATAGATAATGGTACCTGGATGATAAAGGCTGGCAATGCTGGTGATAAAACAGCCAGAGTGTATGTTAGGACAATGATTGGTACAACACCCGCTGATCATGTAAGAGTTTTGTTATATTCTGTTGCTATTAACTTCTTTAAATTAAACTCAGCCATGATAAAGAATTGGCACAAATGGCATAACATATTTTACTCTTATCTATACATATTCAAAGGCAAGTCCAGACAACTGTTTTTCTGTAATTCTGATTCACAGAATAGTTCTTGTATATAATTAAGGTGTCATATTTTAAACTGGAATTATGAGACAGTTCATAAGTTTGTTCTTATGTTGAAACTTGTATACTAAATGTTAAGTGACATTATACTCATCTTTTCGTTGTCAAGTTGAACTGAATTAGCTTTGTATTTTAAAAGAACAACTACTTTAATGAGGAGTGAACAAATTTGATAATGAGAATTGATTTGCATAAAGTGCCTAAAATATAAAAGACTGTCCCACTCTTTTTTATCATATTGAACAACAATTATAAATTCCCATAGGTCACATGAGTTTTTGATCGTTTATAATTATGTTACAGTCACAAAATAATGAATGAAAATAATTATGACAGAATTTAAAATTGAATTGTAAGCTGATGTATTTTAGATATTTTCAGGACAGTGCAGGTATAAAGCTTTTTGGAGATAAGATTTATTCTAACAAAGAGTGCACATTGACTTTTGCTATGGACAGAGGGGCTGTTTGTAACTGGGATTATATGGAAAGGTGAATTAAATGTTTTTAATACTTCCTTTAAATATAATCATATTTCCACTAATTATTGTTTTTAAAATGAATTACATTGTCATTTTGTCTTAATTTCTATTAAATAATTTGAATGATTGACTATGTTTAAGAGAGTGCAAAAATGATGAACTGTTTTATTTCTCAATACTATATATTAAGTCTTTTCTTGTCAACCATGCTATACCTTGCTAAACATTATTTTATCTATTCTAGCGCAGCCTTGCTTAGCCATCTACTAATGATTTCATTTTAATAATGATATGAACTGTAAAATTCCTATTAAACATCCCTAGGGGTTTAACATTTTTAACATTTTCCAAAGGGGAGGCATTTATTATAACACAGTTTTCATAAATAAAAAAATAATTGTAAATTCTTTGTGTGTTAAATGAGTTTTTGTAATACCTTAGGGGGGGGGGGGCTATTTTATAGGCTTTTTACAGTATTTATTTTTTGTATCTTTGATTATAATGGGTTTATGCAGCTTTTACAATTTAACAGATAGATCATTTTGAAAACTGTTTAGCCTTAAGGTATACATCATATTATTGTTTATGGTAAGTTGGTATAGCCAAATACTAATGCACTTTGCTGTATAACGGATGATGATGATGATGATGATAATTATATTATTAATTATAGTAATACTGAAGAAATACTAATATCAGTTTAGTTTGACAGATTTTACAGCATTCCATAAAAGATTGAAGCGCTAATATACATGTACATGTTTATAGCATAAAGTTTAGTTCGATAACAAGGATAAGAATTATTTTAATTCGTATAGCATCTGGGAGTATATTTTCATGAATGAAATACAAGACGGTATTGAGGGGCGCCATGTTCTTATAACAGAGGTACCAGGAAACAGTCCTAGTAATAGACAAAAGATGGTAGAGGTGAGGCATTTGTTAATTTAAGTAAAATATTTATACTACCCTCTGCAGAGGAATAATTTCTTAACATAATGGCATCCCTGGCAGAGTGGTTTAGGTCATTGACTTTAAACCACCTACCTCTCACTGCTGTAGGTTCAAGCCGCACAAGCGCCTTCAGATTCTTTCATGTAAGAAAGCTATTCAGCTACCTTATGGAACGTCCGTGGTTCTACTCAGGTGCCTGTTTGTACTTTAAATAATCCACTGAATGGCACCTGAGGTCTTAATCCACCAGTAAATCTGGAAAGTCACCATATGACCTTGACTGTGTTGGT